TATATATATATAGTAACCACTTGGGACATCCTGACCTCACATGGAGCTGGTTCTGGAGTGTATGCAGGCACAAAAAGCACCAAAACAAAGAGGAAAGCACAAAGCTGGAGAAAAGAGAGACTCAACTGACCCTGTCTTCATTGAATGCAAAGATTTGGGCTCATTTTGTTGTTTACGGAATGAGTCTGAGTTTGACAAGAGCTTCACTGTGTGCAAAATTTGCAAAATGAAGATAAAGCCCTTTAGGAACATGACAAATGGGCTCACATTGAGTTTTGGATGAAAAAAAATCGATTTTGTATCGAATCGTGACCCAAAAATCTGAATCAAATCGAATCTTGCGACAATAAAAGATTCCCACCCCTAATGTCTAAGTTAGCTCTCTGAGTGAAACGTCACAAACCATAAGAAAATCAGCCCTAATCTAGCACTGGAACCTTTTTGATGGAGGACCACGAGGTCCAAACTGAGCGGAGAGCCACAGTGCAGGTTATGTCTCTGCTGTGTGCTTAATGGCCCGTTTCAATTCTCTTTCACTGTTTTTTCCTGTTTTCTGCCTCCACAGTGCACCTGGGCCTGTGGCGTCAACAGCAACGTCCATGGCCTGATCTGGCACCAACCACTGCAGGAGCAGCAGCAACAGGAATTCCAAAATTGCAACAAAAGCAAAAATGGTGCCGGCCACAGGACCGCAGTGAGACCTGAGCCTCTGAAAGCGCTTGGCCAGTGGAAGAACCTCTTCTCCAGCTACTCTGTCATAAACCTGAAATGAAAAAAATTTAATTCAATATCAGGAATAAATCAGCCCTTCAGTCACACACACACACACAAAGAAAACTGGATTTTATGTAAGATAAAACCCTGTCACAACATTTGCATGGCTGAGCACAACCACAGATATGTAAGGATATAATCTTGTTTTTTAAATTGTTGCACTCAGCCACTGAAAAGTTAAGACTAAACATGCCTTGATTAGAAGAAAAAAAAATAAACATGCCTTGTTTTTGTAGCATGTGCATCTATTTTAGGAACCAGGGCCCGTATTTATAAAACTTCTTAGAGTGGATTTTTAGACTTACAGCAAGTGCTGAAAATTTCTTAGATTTGCTCCGACTCTCAGACTTAAGTGTAAGTGCCAGTTATCAAAATTCTTAAGTCTAAGAGTCACTCTTACTCTCAAGAAAAGTTCAGACTGCTCCAGAGGACTCTTAAGTGGTTCAGAGTTACCACTAGGGGGTCTGAGATGAACTGAGGAGACAGAGATTACAGCCGTCCTCCTCCCCACATGACTGTTATTCTCAGTTACAAGGTGGAAAACAGGTTTAATCAGAAATATACAAAAGAAACAAAGGTAAAAATAAAATAATTAAAAAACTGTCCATAAAGTTGGACTAAAAGGCAGATATCTGTGTGTGGCTTTTGGAGAAAATATTAAATATACTCAGCTGGTGAGTGCATGCAAAACCCCCCCCAAGAACGAAAAAAAAGAAAAGAAAAGAAAGAAAGAAAGAAAGAAAGAATAGAAGTTAATTAATTAATTAAAATTGAACTTGTGACTGCTGGGATTGAACGTTTCGTTTATTATTTTAACAATCACGTGATACAATGATGGGGCTTGCGGGGTGGTGGGGCGGCGCTCGGACCAAGCTGGTAATGACGGAGCGGGTTGTGTGTGCATTGTGCATGTGTGTGTCTGTGTGTAAAGCCGGTGTTGTCTGCAGACAGTGGCGAAGAGGAGGAGGGAGCAGCTCAACATGACCTCAGGCTCTGAGACATAAAACAACTTTAAAGCTGCTAAATTTTTGATTTAAAAAATTGTGAGATTTTCGTCTGTTTTCATGATGCAAATGAGGACATTATGTAATTCTACAGACAATCAGTACAAGGTGACAACATTAGTGTGTTGAAAGTGAACTTATCTTAGCAGTTTCACAGTCTTATCTTGNTAATTATGTCAGTTTCGGTCCTCTGTACTGCAGAAGCCTGATAATCACCATTCATTCAAATCAGATGTGTTTGAGCAGAGAAAAAAGTAAAACATGCAGGGCTGYGGCCCGCGAGGACCAGGATTGCCCACCCCTGGTCTAAAGATTCCACTACAGTTTCCAAATGACCCCGCCAGCTTACAAGGAAAGTCCCACKATCAAACCTACATACCTTTGCGGTAGACGAGACGGCTGATCACAACAATTGTGATTCTATCGTGGTGGCGCTGGGTGGGGTCGGGGGTGAAATCTGTGGGATCCACCGCATTGGGAATAACAGATACGATCTCTGGGTTGAGTGCAGCACGGAGCACCGTGTTCTCCTTACTGGTGTAGGAGACGCACACAATGTGGTTGGTGTCACACATAGAAATAGTCAGAAGCTTGTTGGTCAGCACAGAGCTGATGTCAGCAAAACCAAAGAGTGAGTGGTCAGTGAACACCTAGAAATAAGAAGAGTGTTTAATCATATGCAACAATACAAAAACGTACATATAATATTAGGTCACGTACTGTGTTCAGGCCCATTGTCTTGGCATGGAATAGTGCATCGTGGGCCATAGCAGAAAATGAGCTGTGTGCATGAACAACAGTGATTTTCTCCCTGACAAACACACAGCGCAGCAGCGGGAGGCTGTGTAAGCAGGTTGTGGCTGTGGACTGGTTGTACATCACCTGCAGCGGCAGGTAGTAGACCTTCAGTCCATTGGTCAGGTACCTGATTCCCCTCCTGCTGCCATAAGAGTGGGTGGCAATTACAACTTTATGTCCCTTTTCAATTAGGCACTGAGAAAGCTGATAAATGTGGCTTTCTACTCCGCCCATATTTGGATAGAAAAAGTCAGACACCATACAGATGTTGTGCTTCCTGTTGCAGACCCTGGTGACATCTGCAGAGTCTCTCAGAGAAGATGGGGCCTTCCCAGCTCCCACTCTCCTTCGCTGACCCATCGTTTAGTCCCTCTGTGGTCAACCACCAGGTCAGTGCTGAAATAAATAATGAAGTGTCAATCAATACCACCACACATATGTTCTACCAAGTTTAGAACAACACTTTGACTTTCAAAACATCTAATGAAGCAATTTTGTTGTTGATTTAGACACATGGGTTTCTGGCAGACACCTAAAAAATTTGGGCCAAAAGCAGGTGTTCGGAAATGTTCATAATTCCATCCAACCAGAATAAAACACCAGTTCCAGAAAATAATAAAGCAGTCAGCACCATGATGTTGCCACTACCATGCTTCATAGTGGAGATTGTGTTTTGTTTTTTTTTTGTTTTTGTTTTTTTGTGATCCTACCGTAACTTGGTCCTTCACCAAACATATCTTTAGGAATTGTTGCTGAAATTGTTAACTTCGGGTTCGTCTTTCTCGACTTTCTAAGAGCAGTTAAGGTTGCAAAAAAATTAAAGAAACTGAATTTACTAGTTGTCCTTTTAATAGATATTGGGTTTAATTTGTAGATAAATTTGCAGAAATGTTAACATTTCCTGATAATGACACTAGCCTATTTGTACATAGGCTCCCTGAAGCTATAAAATTTCCCAACTTAAAATTTAAGAAACTATTTTCTTTCAATACAAAGAAATAATAGRCGTGACAGTTTACAGCACAACAATATAGTTTGTGTACATTTAAGTAAACATTTAGGAATCTTCACACAGCATTTCTGAAAGAATAGCGACTGCTTTGAAATGTTTTTTAAATTTAAAATTCTCACTTGTTTAATCGTGATGAATAAATTTGATCGCCGATCCTTATTAAAAACATGAAACGATTCACAACTGATTTACAATCAACTGGCTCGTCGTAGTCGAGATTTTAACCCACAAGACAAGAATTAAATGGTATCCTTTWTATTGTCTTACCGTGAAAATAAATGTCAGTTTTGTTTCAGCTTGTAAAAACAACACAACGGTGTTTCTCGCTGTCGATTCATTTCCACTCGTTAGCTCCGTCACCGTGCTAGCGAGCTAGCCGCCGGACCGGTACCACTTCCTGTT